GACTTCAAACAAGGTCTTTCTACTCCTTAAAAATCAGGCTTACCTTCTGACTTCAATCTTTATCCATTTGATGGACCATCACAGACCCCTCCCCCTCCCCCACGGGACACTCAGCCAGTGTCCCCAGGGCTGTACACATGCCCACAGTCACACCTCCTTTTTAGCTCTTCACAGCCACCAGTTACCTCTTCACAGCCACCAGCTACCTCTTCATAGCCACCAGCTACCATGGTTTTCACTGTCCTTGTTTACCCAGGAGGAAGCCGAGGCATAGGCAGATTAAGGTGCCGGCCTTGGGTCTCATAGCAGTGAAGCGGCCAGAGGCCTCAGTCATCGCTTGCTGGATTCATGCCTGGTCCGCGGCCGCCCACATCCACCCACAGCCCAGGGATGTCCCTAAGTCAGCTTGGCTGCCCCCGTGCAGCGTTTGCTCGTCACACCTGCCTCTGGTCCTGACCTACTGGCTCCAGAGCCCATCAGATGCCTCGAGATCCAGGCCTCTAGACGGCCTCTGCTGCTGGGTGGGGCTGCCTGGCACCCTGCCCTCCTCCCTCCCCCAGGGGAGCCTGGACCCTAAGAACAGCCAGACCCGGAGGGAGGGGGGGAGGCTGGTGTTCAAAGGCTGCACTTCCAATACACAGAGATTGGAAATGGCAGGACAGCGGTTAGGGCAAGAGATTTGGGGGCCTGGACCCGGGGAGAATTGGGTGCAGAGAGGGGCAGATTCTGGATACGTGTGAGAACCCAGGAGCAGGATGGGATAACGGGGGAGGGCAAACCCTTGATCCCACTTCAGCTCCCAGTCTCGGAAATATTGGGGGCAGGGCCCAGGCTGAGGCCTCACCCAGCAGAGGTGGGTACGTGGGGGTCAGAGGGTGTTGGGCAAGTATGGCGAAATTGCGGGGGCCACACATGGGTGGCCCTGGGTCTCAGTTTACCCCCAGGGAACTCTATATATCTATCTTTGTCTTTAGTGGGGAGTTCTTTGAGTTTTTCTGGCTATTTTTGGGGTGTCTGAAGGTCTAAAGATCTCTGGGCATCCCTGGGGTCTTGGCGATGTCTGAGTTTCTCTGGAAGTTTCTGTGGGCCTCTAGGTATCCTTGAGTGTCCCTGGAGCCTCTCTGTCTCGGTGTATCTGTGAGGGCCTATAGGTGTTTCTGGGGTATCGGGGATTCTGAGTTGTTCTAGTATCTCTGGAGATTTCTGAAGGTCTCTAGGTGTCTCTAAGGATCTCTGGAAGTCTCTGTGCTGACAGACTGGCCCTTCGTGGGACTCAGACCTGTTTCAGACCCAGTCTCAGGCCATGTCAGCCCGGAGGAGAGGGAGTGTGGAGATGCACCTTCTAGAAGCTTCTGGTCCCCCTCAGGCAGTGGAGGCCAGAGCTACCCTGCTCCCCATAGCCTGGCCATGCCCTGCTGGTGCTGCAAGAAGGTCCGGACCCCATGGCCCCCAGGCCCCAGACCCGCCATGCTCCGGAAGCCAGGCCCTCCCCCAATGCCAGGACCTAGGCCTCCCAAACTCCAGACCCCTCTACATGCTCCAGACTCCAGGACCCCCAGGTCCCCCTGACCCACTTCCAGAGCCCACTATCCCAGGCTCCAAGCCTGCTCCTCCCCTGCCTCCCCCCTGTGTCTGGCACGTCCTCATTTCCTCATTTCCTCCTATTCTAAGAGGCCTTAGTGCTTAACACCCACCCACACCCAGGCCTGAGGCTGGCTGCTGCCCCTCCGTCCCTCTGATCCCAAAAGCCCGAGTATCTTGTGTGTGTTTGTTGGCCGATTTCAGTGTTTTACTGAAAAACCTCCGTGGTGAATTTCTCCCTCCCATCTGCCCGCTGCTAAGAGGTAACCAAGGGGATTTCTTTTTCGTGTTTCGTCCACAGTTCCTTTGGATGAATAAAATGAAATCTAGAAGTTTATTCTTTTGGCTTTTTTCAGTGAATGTTTGCTCCTGGAGACATCTGCTCTCACCTGGGTCTGCTCCTCCCCTGCCCCCCTCCCCCCAGGCCCCTGCCACAGGCTGTTCCATCCCCTTTCTCCCACCTCCTTACTCAATAAATCCCCCTTCTCCCTCTCCATAAGGGCTCTCTTGATCATCCCATTAAAAAATTGGTACCTTCCCTGCTTGCCTCTCACTCTTATTGTTCTCTGCATCCCCCCTTCCACCTGTTACCATGTTTCCCCTGATAGATCCTGCATAGGACAGGTCTCCCCAGCAGCTCCCAGAGCCCCACGAGGGCAGGGATTTTTGTTTGCTTTGTTCATGGCTGTATGCACAGCTCCTGGACCAGTGTCCGGCACACAGTAGGAGCTTAATAAAGGTTTGTGAGAAAAATAAATGAGTCATGGCTCATCGGTTTATAGAGATCTGTCATTTTGTTTCTAGGACTCTGTGGTACGCTCCCCCTCCCCAGGATGGATAAATCCTTATTCATCTAATCAATCCCTTAGGCTGCTTCTTCCCCCCCTCCCCCATATAAGAACATTGAGATGAATCATCTTTAGACAGGTCATCTTCTGGCCTTCCCTCTTTTTCAAAATTGTTCAAAATATACTTAACACTTTAACCACTGTAACCATTTTATAGTGAACAGTGCCATGGGTTTTTAGCACATTTACAAAGTGTTTCGCAAGCACCACCTGCATCCAGCTCCAGAACATTTCCACTGCCCCAAAGGGAAACCCCATCCCCCCTTAGCCTCCCCACCCCCACCCCAGCCCCTGGCAACCACCAAGCTGCTTCCTTTTTTTTTTTTAATTTTTTTTTAATGTTTATTTATTTTTGAGCGAGAGACAGAGTGTGAGCAGGGTAGGGACAGAGAGAGGGGGAGACACAGAATCCAAGGCAGGCTCCAGACTCTGAGCTGTCAGCACAGAGCCCGCCACGGGGCTCGAACCCACGAACCGTTTAACCAACTGAGCCACCCAGCGCCCCTGCTTTCTGTCTCTGTGGATTTGCCTGTTCCGGGCATATCATATCAGTGGGGTCATAAGCTCTGTGGTCTTTTGTGACTGGCTTCCTTCACTCACCCTGATGTTTCCAGGTTCATCCACGACGAGAGTGTCTGCATTTCACCCCCTTCGTGCGGCTGAATCACATTGCGTGTCTGGAAGCACCACGTTTTGTTTACTCACTCATCACCCATTTCATGCTCCGCTGCCCTTGTCACTTTGTCAACATGAACTATCCAGGAGCGTCCCAGCAGCGGGATGCTGGGGCAGCAGATGCGAGTGTTGGTGACTCCTGTGGCCTGTGCCGGTCGCTGTGCTTTCCCCTGGGACAGCGCCACACGTGATCCTGAAGCGGCCCGCAGGCTTCCGTTTTCCCACAGCCTGGCCAGCACAGAAGGTCAGCACACGTCTGAATCTTTGCTCGTCTCCTCAGGGAAAACGAACGGTCCCTCAGAGTCGTGATGTGCAGTGTTTCTGTTAAGAATGAGTACCTTTGGGGGGGCGCCTGGGTGGCTTAGTCGGTTAAGCGTCCGACTTTCGCTGAGGTCATGATCTCGCGGTTCGTGGGTTCAAGCCCCGCGTCGGGCTCTGTGCTGACTGCCGGCTCAGAGCCTGGAGCCTGTTTCAGTCTGTCACTCCCTCTCTCTCTGACCCTCTCCTGCTCACGCTGTCTCTCTCTCTCTCCTAGAAATAAATAAAAACATTTTGGAAAAAAAAAAAAAAGAATGAGTACCTTTGGGTGTGTTGGAACCACAATTTCCAACTCTTTCTAAAAGTCTCGGTTCAAATCCTTTGAGCATCCCTGTGAGTCTGAAGATGGAAAGGGGCAGAGTTTGAGGAGATGGGGAAGCATGGGGGGGGGGGGATTCAGCTTCCCACAGTCAAGAAGGCTCTCCGCATTTATCCCATTTTACGGATGTGGAAACTGAGGCACGGAGTGGTTAAAATCGCACAGCAAGGCAGGGTCTGGAATGGAGTTGGAACCGGGTCTGCCTGACGCTAGGACCCCAGGGAGGCTGAAACCCTCTCCGAGTCCACCCTCCTTCATCTACTTTTGTCGCGATGCTTTGGGTCTGACTCAGGCCCCCCTCCTCCTCTGGGACGCTGGTCTCCTGCCCAGGTCTCCCACCTCCAGACACCAGGGTCACTCTGGAGGAATCTTGGGACATAGTACTCCTCCACTGCTCACATATCTTCCTTGGCTCCCCACGGCCCTGGGAATAACGCCCCACTCCTCAGCCTGGCTTCGATGTCTGCACTCCCCACCCCCTGCCCTCACCACCACTTCCTCCTCTTAGCCTGTCCATCTAGCCACTCCACTCCTAAATGCACTGGCCCAGCCGACCGTGCTGACTGTGCTATCTCGAGCTGCAGGGCCTCTGCTCCTGCTGTGACTTCTGCCTGGAATCTGCCATGCATTTGTTTCCGCCAGCTACCGTGACTCATCCTCCAAGCCCCGAAATCAACGTCTCTTTCCCCAAGAAACCCTCCTCACAGCCCCCTCCTTGGTGGAGGCATCACTGTGCCTGAGAAGGAGCTCTAAGTCTGTGGGGGAGGCTAGCAGCTGGGAGAGTCAAGGGCAGGTTTTAGGAATCCTCGGCAAAACTCTACTTATGTCTGGAAGCCCCAATTCTAATGCTTCCTCCTCCAGGAAGCCTTACCGGACTCTGTCCCTCCCTCTGACCCTGACCTGACTCCACTGAACTGGATGTGTCTGTGTCCAGCTCCTTCCTCTCCAAAGACTGGGTGCTCCACCGGAACTGGCTGTAGCTGAGGTCTTCTGGAAGTCCAGCATGGGTGCTTGTTGAATGAATTTATGAATGCACGGCTTGGGTGTCAGCTGAGCCGAGACCAGGAAGCGAGTTGATGAGGTAGCAGTCATTCGGGGTGTTAATGGGGGACATGTAGTCACTGGGCTCCAGCAAGAGAGAAGCAGGTCGCCCCTCCCCCTCTCGTGAGAATCCTAGGTCTGAGGTCTCGCGGGGGGGCGTGTCTCTGTGTCTTCATTCTTCCCCTCAGCATTGCACCCGGACACCAGTTCCTCTTCCCCTGAGTCTCTGGGTGCGGATCCCGAGGAGCGCCGGGACCAGAGCGAATCCGCAGGGGGTGCTGACCGCTTTGGCCCCCTGGTGCAGGTGAGCCATCACGCAGCCCTCCCGCGCCCCAGCCTTCCAGCACCGCCCAGGCAAAAGCGTGGCGGTTGGACCAGAAAGGTAGGACGGACGCGCTAGAACTTGGGTCGGGGAAGGGGCCTCAAAGCAAATCATAGGGGGTGTCTTTCAGTAGCCCCAGCCTAGCCCGGCCCAATACTCCCAACACTTCGAGGACCGAAAGAAACAATTAGTTGGGCCGGGGGCGGGCCGTTTCCGGGGCAACCGCTTATTTTGCATATGGTCCCGTCTTAGCCAATGAGAGCGCCCGAAATATTCAGGGTGGGAAGGGTTGGGGGAATGGGCTACTTAACCCGAAGGGGCTCCCCGGGAGAAGGGGAGGGGCTGATGGGGTCAGGTCTCCTCCTTGCCTTCCAAGACCTTTGGGCACTGGAATTACGTACCCATTTCCCAGAGGGGATGACTGAGGCCAGACAGAGGCTAGAGCCAACCAGAGGCGCAGCACCCGAAGGGCTGCGTTTGACCGTTTCAGAAGGCGCCTGAGTGACTCTGAATAATAATAATAATAATAATAATAATAATATACAGGCAGGGAGGGTGAAGCGTCCACAGGCTAAGGTCGGGGCTTGGATCCTGGTGTCTCTGCCTAGGTTGCTTGAATGGGGGGCGCCCTGCTGTGGATGCTGTTGTTACCGCTGCTGCTGCAGGACCGTGGCAGCCAAGGGTTGTCATGCGACTTGTCCTCAAGGGACGTGGACTGGACCACAGAGTTCACAGCCACATGCCTGAATTTCAGCGGCCAAGGCCTGAGGCTGCCCCGGAACCAGTCTCTGCAGGCTAGGAACGTGGTCCTTCTCGACCTGTCTGGAAACGGCCTTCAGGAGCTACCACTGCCCTTCTTCGCCCTCCTGGAAAAGCTGGAGGTCCTAGATGTGACAAACAACTCGCTGGACCAAGTGGACAGGGAGCTGGCCTTACGCTGTGAACTTGACCTGAAGGCTGACTGCGGCTGTGTCCTAGAACCCTGGTACCGGGTCAGACGGGACAACTGCTCTGGCCAGCTGCCTCTGCTGTGCCAGGACACAGCTACGGGTGCCTGGCTCAACATCTCTACCTTCCTGGAGGTTGGCTGTCCCCACGGCCTGTCGTTGAGGACCACTGGGGCGCTGGTGGCCAGTGGAAGCCTGCTCCTTGGACTCACCATTGCTGGCCTAGTGCTGGCCCGGAAGCTCCGGGCACGCTGGACCGTCAGTAGCCAGGGCCTGGACAAAACATCGGCTGCTCAGGAAGGTTCCAGGTCTGGCTTGGGCAAGCAGCCGAGGTACAGTAGCCGGGGCCTCAGCGCTAAGCCCCCAGAGGCTGTCCCGCGCAGACCCTCCACACCCGACTACGAGAATGTGTTCGTGGGCCAGCCACCTGCCAGCCACCAGTGGGCCGAACAGGGGTGAGTGACTCACATCTGCCTGCAGGGCTCTGGAGGCAGATGGCTGGGATTCAAATCCCCGTGCTACCTCTTGTAGGCTGTGTGATCTTGGGCAAGTAGTTTCACTTCAGGGCTTCAGTTTTCTCATCTATAAAATGGGGATAACAACAGCCTCCACCTCATGGGGTTGGGGTAAGAATTGAGTTCCTGTAAATGAGACACGTTTCCCCCTTCATGACCTGCAAACCCAGTTTCTGGCCGTCAAGGATGGGAAGAGAGGAAGCAAGTGTTGAGGCAGAGTGGGGGCTTTGCAGTCGCAGTCAGTGGCCTGGGCTCAGATCCTGTGTGACCCAGGGCTGCCTCTGAACCTGTTTCAGTCTCTGTGAAATGGGGGCAGCTCCCTTTCCCCATCTCCCTTGACATATGAGATGCTAAGAAAGCTGTGCCCTTCTCCCCCCACAAAGCCCTGATACCTTCAGATTTGGCAGGACTTAGATGGATGGGTTCAGCTTTTCCGGGTTGGATGAAGGAATGAGGGAATTTCAGGGGGCAGCACCAGCAGGGGCAAAGTCCTGAAGGTGGAAGAGAAGAGAGAATCTTCCAGGCCTCCGTTTTGAGAAGGCAAGACATCCCAGCTGAGGCTGAAGGGGGGTGGGAAAATCCAAGCAGGAGTGGAACAGGATCAAGGATGGGTTTGGGCAAGGGAGTCCGCAAAGCGGAGAAGCTGGTGGGAAGCTGCTGGTGAGAAATGAGAGACTAGGCAAAGCAGATGCAAATTGGGCTCAAAAGCAGAAGTGGTCTGTGGTAGGGAGCTGAAGGCACTAGACTCAATAAGGCAGCTCATGTTCTGATGCTCGGTTCTGCCTCACTGTCCCCAAAGCCTCAGGGCCAGTCTCCTTCCGAAACCATTGTGATGTGATCCAAATGATACTGAATGTGCCATTCCCACCCTACATTTAAGCTGTAGAGTTCTGGGAGACAGGGAGTGACTTGCCCAAGGTCACACAGTGAGTTCAAAGCAGAGGCAGGAGACAAATCCTGCCTCTGAGTCCTGTCTATCCTATATAAGCATTTATGTATTTGGAGGGATTCATATTTTTTAAAGTTTATTTATTTATTTATTTTGAGAGAGAGAGAGAGAGCAAGCAGGGTAGAGGCAGAAACAGACAGAGGAGAGACAGAATCCCAAGCAGGCTCCACCCTGTCAGCGCAGAGCCCGATGCAGGGCTTGAACCCGCGAACCGTGAGATCATGACCTGAGCTGAAACGGACTGAGCCACGGGGAGGGGGTGGAGGTGGGGCCCAAAATAGCCTTTGTTACAAGAGGTAACAAAGAGGTACCCCTCAGGGGCATCTGGGTGCCTCAGTCAGTTAAGCGGATGACTTCAGCTCAGGTCATGATCTCACAGTTTGTGAGTTCGAGCCCTGTGTCGGGCTCTGTGCTGACAGCTCAGAGCCTGGAGCCTCCTTGAGTTCTGTGTCTCCCTCTCTCTCTGCCCCTCCCCCACTTGCATGCATGCACCCACTCTCTCACCCTCTCTCAAAAATAAACGTTAAAAAAAAAAAGGAGGTACCCCCCCCAACCTGGGGTAGGATTCCAGAAGTATGTTCCAGAGGCAGGAGAGTCCTCCTCTGGGGGTCTTGCCCACCATAGCTAGACATTGCTAAGAAACTGCCTCCTCTGGACCTACTGATCTGGGGCTCAGAGACTTATTTCTATCCTGAGGCCACAAAGTCAGTTGCGTCCGGGAACCTAGTGAAAACATTTCCCATTTGAAGGGTCACTGGTTTGTGTCCGTGTGGCTGGTGCGACCAACTGGAGCTTCGATTTTTCAAGAGGAGACTGAAGGTTAGATTTAATGTAAAAGATAAGCTACAATCTCAACTTTAAGGAGGAAAACGATTCAACCATGGGCCCCGGATCTTTGCGCCCCAGGGTGCCGATGCCAGATCCACAGGATCTTCCCTGAATCCCCAACCCCCACCTCCTTTCCTCAGGGAAACTTGAGAGGCTGGGAGAGCACTGTCCTGTGCCTCAGTTTCTTCATATGTAAATACTGGAGGTGAGGGTTGGGGACTCAGCTGCTCAGAACTTTCTTTGTCGCTCAAAGCTGAGGTGCCTACCCCCTGAGTCCTCTCTCCCCTCGCATCTGTCTGTCTCCACAGGGCCCACCCATCAGAGGACAGCGACTTCTACATGAATTATGAGGGCCTTGACCATGCCTCCCAGCCTGTCTATTGTAACCTGCGGTCGCTGGGCCGAGCCCCACTGGACGAAGAGGAGTATGTGATCCCTGGGCGCTAAGTCTTTGATGCCCTGAACTCCAGCCTGCTGCCTTCCAGCTGACTTAGAGCGCTCTGGCTCTCCCCTGGCCTCAGTTTTTCCCACCTGAGGAATGGGGACGGAGAAGGACCGTCCCTGAAGCCTCAGGGAGGCTCTGTAGCCCCCACTCTGCTTCTCATCTCCCGCAGCTGCTGGAAGAGGAAGAGGAGAGGCCCCGGCATGGGGACAGGAGGGTCAGTTTGTGAACTCCATCGTCACCCTCCTGTGAGGGTACTGGCGAGGCTCAATAAACGCTGCAGGGCTGACTAGGCTGCTGGCTCAGGCCGAGTGGGTTCCTTAGAGTGGGGATTTCCTGAGCTCCCCAAACCGGATCTCGGAGACTCCTCAGTTGTTCCCCACCCTTGGGGGAACAACTGTCTCTGTCTCTCTTAGGCCCCCTTCCCAGGTACCTGGTACTCAGGCTTAGCCCCCAGGACAGCCCATACCAGCCCCAGAGGGATCATTGTAACTTACGAATGGTACTGTGTTCCTCCCCAGCTCACATACCCTCCATGGATTCCCCAGTGCCCCCAGGACCTCAGCCTGGGGGTCGAAGCCTGCGTGATCCTGCCCTGCCCAGCTCACTGTCCTCCCTGTCCCTCTGTCCTTCTGGTATAGGTCTCCTCACCACCAAGTCCACCTTGCTCCTGAAGTTTTCATTTGCCCATGCCACTCCTTTCGCCCAAAATGCCATCCCCTTCCACTTTGTCTCACTCTTACACCCCTTCATACAGATGCAGGACCCTGGTCTCTGGGTGTCAGGGGGCACAGGCCCAAGTGACTCTGCCATCAACAGGACCTCAGTTTCCCCATCTGTACAACAAGGCAATTAGAATCAGTCTCTGCAGCTGGTGTTAGCTTTCATATGCTGAGCTATCTTAACCCGTCCTTCAAGGCCAGGTTCAAGGCCACTTCCTCTAAGAAGCCTTCCGTGGTTTCTCCTCAGGCAGAGTTAAGCACTCCCAGAGCTCAGTGTGTTTTAAGAGTTTGCGCAGACTCATGCCTCAGCTGGGCTTCCTGGCACCGGCTTCGAGCCTGGGTCTTGCCAACCCTCTAGTCTAGGGGGGATGGCTGGACACAGACACCCTCAGTCCCCAGAGGTCCAGCCTGGGCTGGAGGGAGGGAGGGGGGCAGGGGCTCCAGAGGGAGATGAACGAAGGAGTTTAGAAAAGGCTGCCTGTGAGAAGGGAATCGGAGTGGGATTTGAAGACCACATAAGTGTTGGAGAAGTGGGGGGACACACATTCTGGGTAGGGGGACTAGCCAGACAAGCAGCAGCCTAGGGGTACGAAAAGACACACGGGCCGCACAATGTTCACAAAGGCAACAGCTGCTGTTTGGGGAGAGGCTCAGTATGGCGTCTGCTAGCTTTGGGTGACCCTGGTATTGAGTTTACTTTTGAGGCTCCCTTGGGTTCCCCAACACTTGGGAATGATCTGGGTGGGAGAGGGAAACTATGAGGGCCGTTAGCTTCCTTAAATTCCTGTAGGCCCGCCCTAGACACAATTCAAGTGGCCACTCCTGTCCCCAGTCATCTTTCTTTTTTTTTATATATAAATATTTTTATTTATTTCTAGGAGAGAGAGAGAGAGACAGCGTGAGCAGGGGAGGGTCAGAGAGAGAGGGAGACACAGACTCTGAAACAGGCTCCAGGCTCTGAGCTGGCAGTCAGTACAGAGCCCGACGCGGGGCTCGAACCCACGAACCGCGAGATCATGACCTAAGCAAAAGTCGGACGCTTAACCGACTTCCCCAGCTCCCATGTCTACTTCATGGCTCTTCAAACACACCCACACCCTCACCACCACCCATGAGATTTGGTGGATTCTAGCCCCCACCCACCTCTCTGGTCCCATCTTGCACAGTTTTGCTGTTGAACACTGAGCTTGTTTCCACCCCAGGCCCTTTGCACCCGCTGTTATGCCTCAAATGCCCACCCCCCACCTCTCCTGAGTCCTGTTCTTCCTCCAGGTCTCAGTTCATATATCACTTCCTCGGGGAGGCCCCCTCTGCCGACCATCTAAATCACCTCTGCCTCCATTCATTAATAGATGGCCTGGATTGACTCAGCACAACTGTCCACCACTTTCCTATTATTTATCTTTGCACTCATTTATCTTCCTCACTCGACTGAGCTCAAAGGGGATGCTTTTTGTCTGTCTTGTTACTTCTGTGTCCTCAGTGCTCCATCAAAGCCTGACACAAAGTGGGCATTCACTGAATACCTTCAGGGGCACCTACAGTCACTCAGGTCTGCCGCTGGGTGGCAGCATTCACAAGCATTCACAGGGGCACACCTCACTCCCTGCTCGAAGTAGGCACTCTGTTCCCCAGGCCCCCATAACATTTCCTATCGGAGAGATTCTCGGGGTGAACAGGCAGGTGGGCGTGGGGCGGGGGCTGGATTTGGCCCATCTTAGGGATTCCAGGATCCTAAGTAGGAAGTCTCTTACAGCACTGGAGATGCAGTGCGCATGAAAGTGCTCTTCACAATGTATTTATTTCCCCGGTTTGTTTGTTTGTTTGTTTTTGTTTTTCCTTTTTTAACTAGCTGCTGGGAGTAGATTTTCCACTTGGTGCAAGGCACACAACAACAGGGTGTTGGGAAGGCATGCCGGTGGCCTGGATAGTAAAGAGCGGGGTTCTCTCAACTTCCTTTTTGATGTTTTGCTGTTTTGATAGAAAAGAAACCAACTGTGTGTGTTTGCTGTGGGCTGCCTAATCTACGGGGAGGGGAGGGGAGGGGAGGGAGGGGCTCTGATGAGACTACCGCTTCCTGAGGGCTGGCAGCCTGTGGTGCCCACTTGGGACTGGGGCCAGGTGTTAGCTTTGTCAGGCCGGCCACCAAGCTGCTTCCACATCGCTTCCAGAGCCAAGTCCTGGGTGATCCTGCCGCTGGCGGCCTGCAGAGATTCTGCGGGTTCTGGACTCTGACACCATAGCCATGAATGGGAGCGTGGACTTCCCCAAAAAGCAGCTTGCCCACCAGTGACCCGGGTTCCTTTTGGGGAACTAGGGTGCTGAGGGATGGCTTCCCCAGGGTACTGTGCCCTTCCGCAGGAACTGTTCCTGGAAGTGGGGGACAGGCAGTGCCAGTAACAGTCGTGGGTGGCCATGAGCCAGGCGCTGCAGGGGACGGGGGCCATGCTGCTGTTTGCGGGCTGGTGGGAACCAAGCGCGGGCAGAGCCCTGGAACTCCTGACCACCGCTGCCATGCAGGGCGCGGACCCCCCAGCTCTTTGTATATGAAAGAATAGCAGGGTGACCAACAGCGGTGCCACAGTGATGGGACTCTCCTTGGTCAGGGGCAATCACAACGTGCCTGATTGCAGATGGATCGGCGGGGCGGCCCGTGTTTGGAAAGGTGACAAGGAGAGCCAGCAGGACGGTGACAGAGATGGGACCGTATCACCACAGAAAGAGGAATACTGAGAGATGAGATATGGAGGGAGACAGACACCCCAAAGGGTCTCAGAAACAGAGGAACGAGAGATAGAGAAGCACAGAGACAGAGAAAAGGGTGTCTTTTAAAAAAAATTTTGTTTTGATGTTTATGTTTGGAAGGGGAGGGGCAGAGAGGCAGGGAGATACAGAATCCGAAGCAGGCTCCAGGCTCTGGGCTGTCGGCACAGAGCCCCACGCGGGGCTCGAACTCATGGACCACGAGATCATGACCTGAACCGAAGTCGGATGCTCAACCGACTGAGCCACCCAGGCGCCCCGAGAAGGGTGTCATTAAGGGGCACCATCCAATTGTTTGGCATCCCAGAACGCCCCACCACCCATCCCCTGAATGGTTCCATTCGCCCTAATACCAGGTCCCCTGTGGGAACTGAGACCACGGAAGGGAAGGTTCTTCCCAGGGTTACCACCTCCATCCTGGACACCATGGGGCTCAGGTCAGACAACTTTTTATTACCCCAGTTTTAAATAAATGCACACCGTCAGACCAGCCCTCCAGTCCCCAGGCAGATCACCCCAATAAATTAATAATAAATACAAACTTATAAATACAGCGGTCTCCGCCGCATAAGGTAGAGAGCAGTGGTGGGCAATCGGGTATCTCAGGACCCACAAGCCCATTTGACAGGCAAGGACCGCTGAGGTCACTTCCACTGCGCACGAGCCGTAAGGGAAAGACTAGGACCGCTCATAGGCAGTGGCAGTCCTTGGCCACGAGGTCGTCGATGGGCGTAAGCGACACTCGACCGTCGCTGTCTTGGTGCATGAGCACTACGGGCTCGTAGCTGGCGGGCACGCAGCACGGCGGCGGCGTCGCGTCGGGGTTCAGGCCGTGCAGGCGCGCCTGCATCTGCGCGTGCGTGTTGGCCGACCGGAACTGGCTTGGACACGCGCCGACACACATGCGCACGTCCAGCTCGCGCGGCGCCACCACCCAGCTGGCCCATCCCAGGTCCTCGAGCGACGCGCGCAAGCTTTGCAGGCGGCAGCAGCGCCCTGCCCCCAGGGGGCAGCCGTCCTCGGCGTGCGCGTGCCCGCTGCGGCGCCCTCTGGCCGCGCGTGGCCGCCAGTGCACCTCAAGCTGGGGACTCTCAGGAGGCAGGGCCGCCAGCGAGAGGTCCCTCTGAGGCGACAGTCGCAGGTGGAGTGTGCGCGCCCTGGCACCTCGAAGCCTGAGCTGACGCTGCAGCGGCCGCGTCACGTCCCATGGGCTCGGATCCGTCGGGGACAGCCGGAACAGCGCCAGATGCAAGCGGTAGGACGCGGGGAGCCCCTCCGTCACGTCAGCCCGGGAGATGCGCAGGTGCAGGTGGCCGTCCAGCCCAAGTCGCACTGAGGGAGAGAAGAGAGCCAGTCAGTCCCAGGCTTGTGTGCACCAGGTGCAAGTGCCCATTTCCTCCCACACACCACCCTGGATCCTACCTCAGGGCCTTTGCACAAGCTGCTTCCTCTTCCGGGCACACTATTCCCCTAAATCTCAGCATGTCGGACTGCATACTCCTCCAGACTGCCTGACACAGGCACTGCCTCTTTGTATGTCACTGTGTGTCATTTCATCTTTCCTACTAGAATCTCAGTAGGGGTTTCTGCTTGGTCACCACCATGTCTGGTACACAGTAGGTGCTTAATAAATGCTTGCGGGGAATTCATGTATATCTGACTTTTAGAGGGACTAAGAGCCAAACAGTGGTTCTGCCTCCTCTAGAAATCAAAACCCTTTTATTGAAGGGCTACTAAGTGCCTGGCTACTCTGTTTTCAACTCTCTGGATCTTGATTGTCATGTCTGAGAAATGAAGGAAGTCCTCAGGTCCCTAGGCGGGTACAGGTGTTGGGGACAGGGGGCCAGACTAGGGCTTGAGGGCCCTGGACTCAGCCACCAGGCTCAGAGAGGACAAGAGGTGTACCTGGAGTCTCACAGCACTCGTAGGATAAGGATGAGATAATAGCGCTGCCTTCGGGCTTGTGGCTCCTCTCCTAACCCCTCCCAGGGAGCACAGCCCAGATCTCCTTCCACCCGCTCTACCCCCTGGAGCCTCCGAGGAGAAGGAGAAAATATCCCGTCCCTCCCACGGCACGTGCTACGGGAGACCTCAGCAGCGCCTTGACAAGGGATTGCGTCAGACTGGGAACCAGTGCCGGCAGATTCCTCCTACCCCTGGGCTGCGCTCCTCTCTCGTCCCCTCCCCTGCATCCTCTCTCCTAGATTGCGCGCCCTCCCCCACCCCTAAATCCAAGGACAGGGTCCCCACTCCCTGCCCCGCGCCCCCTCGATTTTATTTCTGGAAACTCCAGGCTCTGTGAGTTTTCAAGAGGATCGCTGGGCCTCAGTTTCCCCATCTGCCATCTGTAACATCTCACTTTGGCCAAACCTTGCCTTGTGTTGGCCACCACCTCCCCCATCAGCCCGAAGGCGGGGTGGGGGTGGGGGGAGCTTTTCTTGTCTGGTTCACAGATAGGGAAACTGAGGCTCAGTGGCAGGTCTGGGTCCCTGCAACTCAGAAGCACCGGTTAGATGTCGGTGGCTGCACAGGGGGTGACGGGCTCCCAGCTTTCACTCACGTTTGGGAGTGAGTATCCGGATTTGAGCTTCAAAGGCAACTCGGTCGGGGTTTGAATGTTCCCAGCTTTGGTTCAGCCGCAGCCTGGCCTGCAGGTGTTCGTAGAGTTTCCGAAACTCCCCGGATCTGGGGGCATCGGTGCCGGAGTGAGCGTCGGACGGCCCTCGAACGGCCGGGAGGTGCTCCTGGGCCAGAGAGAGGGCGCCTCCCAAAGGCAGCCAGCGGACCACCAGCAGCATCAGCAGCATAGGTGGCACGGGTCCTGGCCCAGGCATGCCTGTGCTGGCTGAGTTCTGAACTGGGACACCGGACGCGGCCGGACTGGCCTTTATAATCCCCGGACTTTGTCCGCCCCCGCCTGCCTGGTCCCTTCCGCTCTGGGTGCAGAGTAAACACTCCAGGGACCGCAGTTGGCTGGGTCTTGGACTCCTTTTAAGGGGGGAGGCCCTTCTGGGGAGTTCTCCTGGGGAAGTGGGTGATGCCCTCCCCCCAGAAGCCTCTTTGAGCCTCAGTATCCTCTTCTGTGAAATGGAGACTTCCTCCCAGCACGGTGGACTGGTGGAGAGAATGCTTTTGTTAAAAAGCAAAACAAACAAACAAACAAAAAAACACACACACAAAAAAACCCCACACTCATTTCTATATGCTAAATTCTGTAGCAAGAGCTGAAGAGGAGGCCTTCTCCCTCATGGGATTTTCTCTCTCCCTTCCTGATTAGGGTCAAAGGCTCCAGATGTCAACAACCAAAGGAAGCCGAGGAGAAAGGGCCAGAAAGCCAGCAAGTACAACCTTAGGCAAGTCATTCCTACTTCATTCCACCTCTGTTTCTTCATCTGGAAAACAAGAACTGAGACTTTCACTGGAGAGAAGTTCAAATGGGGCTTAAAGGACAGGACCAGACACACAGGAGGTATGTGATTAACGGAGTCTGCAGTCACGCTTCCTTAGGGGGAACTCCTACTCGTTCTTCAAAGCCTTATTCAAAAAGCCCCTCCTCCAGGAAGCCTTGTCTACCACCACCTCTCCAGGCTCAGCTGGGTGCTTCCCACCCCCACCCTTTCCTTCACTGGGAGTAACTGACCTTGGCTCTGTCTGCCCCAGACTGGAGGCCCTTTGAAGACTTAGAGAGAGGTGAAGCGACTCTGGGGCCCAGTCCAGAGTGGAGGGGGCAGGGAATTGGAGGGCCGGTGTCAGGTCCAGCCACCAGATGGTAGAGGGACAAGGGGTGCCGCAGGCCTTCCCCTCAGACCCAGGCCTTCCCCTCAGACCCTTCTCCACCGCTGAGGACCCCGGGCCCCAGGCACTGGCCCCTGCGCCTGCTTCGTGGCCACAGAGAAGACGGGCGGCTGTTGAGGCAGATGGATGGGAAGTGTAAAGTGTGACAGCGTGTGTGCGGACATGAGGCTCAAGGCCACCCCAGCATGCACCCGCTGGCTGTGTGAGCCCAGCCGAGGCTCGGGTCCCCCAGTCTCAGTGTCAGCCTCTCTGCAGTGGCATTACCACCCAGCTGTGGGTCCCAAGTCTCCCCCTGTGAGGCCCAGGGCATCCAGGTGCTTAGTAAACAGACCAGCTCCCGCCCCCCGTCATTACCACCTCGACAGGGGCTGTTGGGAAGATGGGCCCCTTGCCCCACCGGCTTGGCCCGCACAGTAAGTGCTCCAAACAGAGCGGGCTAGACATGGAGCCGCGGCCACACTGCTATGCCCTCTGCAGAGACTGGGCGCCAAAGGCGAGCCAGAGTGCTGAGTAATCCCAGCGTGGTAGGGGCAGGTCAGCAAGGGTCACCAGTGCCTAGGGCATGACCTAACCTGGGGTGGGTGGGGCAAAAGGGGCGCTGTCCCAGCAGGCATCCCTGCAAGATCAATAACGGTCAGATGCTAATATTCACCAGACTCCGTGCTGCAGGCACGGCTCATACACGTTTCCCTTCAGAGATAAGGGAGCTAAAGCAAGAGGGTTAGTAAGATGGTGGGGCCCGCTCCCCGCTGGAGACCTCACACCGCCCAGCCTCGAGCTGGCCACCTGTTTTCCTGGCGTTTCTAAGCCTGTGAGAGGAATCTGAAGTTCCCCTCTGTCTCGGACTGTTGTTTGTTTGTTTGCTTTCTGGTTTGGGGTTTTGTTTGTTTGTTTGTTTCCAACTTAAAAGCCTCATGAGTCTTTCCTGATCCAGGTCCCAATAGACCAGACATATGTCAGCTCCAGAGAAGCTGGCCCCGGGTTGACATTCTGGCCCACTTCTCCCTGGCCATGACATGTGGGACAAAGGGCATCAGCTATCAGAGCCTCGGTTTCCCCGTCTGTAAAAGGTGGTGGGAAGAGCACCCAGGGAGTGGGAATTTTTGCCCGTGCTGTGGGTCAACACGATCGTGGTTCAAATCCCAGTGCCACCCGCTTTGCTGTGTGACCATAGGCAAGTTACTCAGACTCTCTGTGCATAGAACAAAGGCAGTGGGTTATGAGGAAGGAGAACGTTAGCTACAGAAAGCTTATCATTCTTAGCTCAGCAAACTCCTAACAGCCAACACAAACTGGGCACCAGGTCACACACAGAAGACAGAAATCCCAGTGCATCAGGGCCCCCTCTGCCCACTGATGCCACCGGGCAGAGGGCGACCCTGGTGGAGGCTAACCTCTCACAAAGACATGAGAAATCACATATTTCATCTGGGTTTGTTTCTTTTTTTTAATTGTTTTACATTTATTTATTTTTGAGAGACAGAGACGAGTGGAGGCGGGGCAGAGAGAGGAAGACACAGAATCCGAAGCAGGCTCCAGGCTCCGAGCTGTCAGCACAGAGCCCGACACAGGGCTCAAACTCACAAACTGAGATCATGACCTGAGCTGAAGTCGGATGCTCAACTGACTGAGCCACCCAGGTGCCCCCGTATTTCAGCTGCTTTACTTGCTTTCCGGGGTGTCAAGTTTGGACAAAGTCCAGCAGACCGTGGGGCTCCCACGCACAGGGGCTTCAGACAAGACACTCATAGGAAGTCTGGGCGCCAGGGAGAGGGCAACCAGAGGGTGCAGGGCCCAAGCCCTCCTTTGGGGACAGAAGATGCAGTCACTTTTCAGCAGGAAAGGTTTGTCCTAAAGAGAGATTTAGGCCGAGAGAGAAACCTGAGATGTTAAGGGAGCCCCAGAAACATGCCAGGTACCCCCAGGGCAGGCAGAAAGCCAACTCTGCTCCCCGAAACCAGATGAGGCCTCCTGTATCGCCTGGGGATATTGCACGCCTTGGAATATTGCACGCCTTGGGAGCAGGGAGCCCAATTCCAAGCTGACTTCCTCTGGGATGGCCTCGGGACAAAGTGTGTCAGCCACAAAAGCCACTTGCCCCAGACCCCACCCCTTTGAACCTTTGGATGACACTAACCCAAGCAGTGGGGAGCCAGCCCCCCGTCCCCCTCAGCCTGGGGTTACTTCTCTCTCATATCATCCCCTTTCTCTGTGCCCCATGTGTACTGGGGAGGCAGGCACTTCCGTGGGTCCCTGGGCAACTGAGGGTGGGTTTGATGAGGAGACGGAGGAGGAGAAATGGATTGAGGGGAAGGAAGAACAGCTAAAGGCTGGGCTGGAGTCCCTCGTGATCTGTGAGCCCTCGCCCCTCAGCTTCGGTTTCCCTGTCCGTAAAAGGTGGTAATGGCACCCCCTCACCCCCTCCCAGGGTTGTAAGGAGGACTCATAGGCAGGGAGTAAGTCAGGGGACAAGGTCTGTCGGAATGTGCACTCCGGATCTGTTAGGAATTAAGTTTCAAGATGTGGACGTTAGCAAATGCCTGCCTCACAGGTGCTGCCACTCGGACGTGTGTGGGCTTCGAGGCAAAGTGGCAACGTTGTGGTTAAGCTATGAGGCGTATCCCAAATGGTTTATAGCCAGTCTTTCTGGTGGTGGCTCTGGTGTTCCAGGGGCCTGGATGCCACCTCCGGGGTGACAGGGAGCTGACCCCCAGGCCCACGTGGTGCTTTAGGGACTGTAAGACTCCTAGTGGCCTTGGCAGAGGGAGCAGGACCCGGAAAAAGCAGGATTTCTCATGGGCAGAAGGGATGCTAGGCTGGAGGGTACCTGTGGAGAGAGAAACTGGTAACCTGTGGGCCTCCTACGTGCTGGGTGTGAGGTGCCCATTTCTTCCCACACGCCGAGCCGGATCCCACCTCAGGGCCTTTGCACAAGCTGCTTCCTCCTCTAGGCACACTATTCCCCTGAATCTCAGCATGCCGGGCTACATATTCCTCTAGCCTGCCTAAAATAGGCACTGCCCTGTTTTATTTCGCTGTGTAGTGTTCCATCTCCCCTACTAGAATCTCAGCAGGGATTTCTGTCTGCCCGGTTACCACCATGTTTGGCGTACAGTGAGTGCTTAGTAAATACTTGCAGGAATTAATCTAGACCTGGTAATTAGGGGCACTAAGAGCCAAACGCAGGTTCTGCCTTCTCTGGAAGTCGAAACCATTTTACTGAAGTGCCTGGGGCTACAACCAGCTACACTGTTTTCAATTCTCCGGTTCTTGGTTTCCATGTCTGAGAAGTGAAGGGCACCAGGCTACACAGGGTGCCCGGCTTCGAGATCCCTTGGACCCTTAGGATCCTCAGACACACCACCCCCCAAGCCGGTCTGGCTCCTGGGAACAACTGCCGAGTGGGCCTGATATTCTAGGCCCTCAACCTAGTTCCTAGGTTCAGAGAGGGCACGGGTTTACTCGGAAGAGGCACAGCCCAGGCGAGGCCAGGGAGGGTTCAGAGCACTCTCTGGAGGCTGGCACCTCCCCCCACCTTCTTCCCAGAGGATCATACGGAGCCCAGTTCTTGAGGGCACCTTCTACTGGCAAACCGTGTTTGGCCCTCGATTGCCTCAAATCTGGAACCAACCTAAGCAGATTCTGCCTACCCTGCCCTCACCCCTGCACGTATCTCTCTCACCCCCCCCCCCACCAAGGTCAAGAACCATGACCTCCCAGCACCCACCTCTGGGTTCTGCAAGTGCTGTGTGCTTTCAGGAGAGTTGCTGGCCCCTCTGGGCCTCAGTTTCTCCATCTGTGATCAGGGCAGGGTTATGCTAACCCCGTGCTGGCCGAGCCCCACCCTGTCTGGCCACGCAGATGAGGCTGCTGGCCCCCTCTTCGGTCCCGAGGGGAGAAGGGCTGTCCCTGCCAGGTTCGCGTATCGGGAGCAACGGAGGTGCAGCAGGGGTCTCTGTGACACGGAACAACTGGTTAGGTGTGGGGACTGCCCAAGGGGCCGCTGAGGTTTCGCTCACACTTTAGGATCTGGTCGGCGTTTGGGTCTTTCAAGTTCTTGTTCAACGGCAGTGCGGCTGGGGTGTCTTTGAAGGGTTTCTGCAGCTTCCGGAGTCTGGGGACATCCAGACCAGATCGCGTCCCAGAGGGTCCTCGGAAGTCCGGGAGGTGCTCCCTGACCGGGGACAGGCCTGCCCCGGTGGTGGCCCCCGCGGGGCAGCGGTATCAGGTGGTAGCGTGAGGGTGATGGTTCCAGCCCTGGGCAGGGCTGTGCCCTCTCTGACCTGGGACTGACACTTGCGGTATCAAACTTTATAGTTCGACCTTAGCCACCCTGGCCTGCCCAGTGTCTCCTGCACCCCCCGCCCCCCCGTGCACAGACTAAACACTCACGAGGTCACAGCTGGGCCTGGCTCCAGGGACGTGCTCCTGATGAAGCCGGGGCACCACGGCGAGCCTCTAATCCTCCTCCATAACATGGCAACCTCACCTCGGCCTGGCGGGCTGGCGGAAAGAAGGCTTTTGTCAAAAAAGACTTACTAGTCACCTACTATGTGCTAAATTCCATAGCGAGAGCTGAAGAGGAGGCCTTCTCCCTCATGGGATTTTCTCTCTCCCTTCCTGATTAGGGTCAAAGGCTCCAGATGTCAACAACCAAAGGAAGCCGAGGAGAAAGGGCCAGAAAGCCAGCAAGTACAACCTTAGGCAAGTCACTCCTCTTCATCCTACCTCTGTTTCTTCATCTGGAAAACAAGAACTGAGACTTTCACTGGGGAGAAGTTCAAATGGGGCTTCATTTGAAAGTTCAAAAGGACAGGACCAGACACATAGGAGGTATGTGATTAACGGAGTGTCTGCAGTCACACTTCCTTAGGGGGAACTCCTACTCGTTCTTCAAAACCTTATTCAAAAAGCCCCTCCTCCAGGAAGCCTTGTCTACCATTACCTTTCCAGGCTCGGCTGGGTGCTCCCCACCCCCACCCTTTGCTTCAGCGCAGACCTGACCTCACAACACTGGGAGTAGCTGACCTTGGCCCTGTCTGCCCCAGACTGGAGGCCCTTTGAAGACTCAGAGAGAGATGAAGTGACTCTGGGGCCCAGTCCAGAGTGGAGGGGGCAGGGAACTGGAGGGCCGGTGTGTGTGCGGACACGAGGTTCAAGGGCTTGCTGGCGACCACACAGCATGTCCCCACTGGAGCCGCAGGGTCAGGCCTCGCCCCGCCCCCAGCACGCATCCACTGGGGACACCGAGGCTCCCCCGAGCCTCAGCTTCTGTGCCTTTGGATTACCGCCCGGCGTTGGGAGGGTCCCCAACATCACCCCAAGTGTCCTGAGTGATGTCCCCAGGCCAGCAGGAGGTGCGTAAGCCTGCTCCTGCCCCCGTCACTTCAGCCTCATGGCAGCAGATTGGGAGGCTGGACCTGCCTCTTTCCATTCAGACCCACTCGCTTTCTAAGAATAAGAAAATCAGGGTCCGGGTGCCTGGGTGACTCAGTTGGTTAAGTTCAGTTCAGCTCACGATCTCGTGATTCGTGAGATCGAGCCTCGTGTTGGGCTCTGCGTGCCCCTCGAGGAGCCTGCTTAGGATTCTCTCTCTCCCCCTCTCTCTCTGCCCCGCACGGCGCTCTCACTCTCTCTCTCTCTCTCGCTCGCTCGCTCTCTCTCTCTCTCTCTCTCAAAAATAAATAAATAAAGATTAAAAATCTAGCTTTGGGGCACCCGGGTGGCTCAGTCACTAAAGCATGTGACTCTGACACTCAGGGTCATGAGTTCAAGCCCCATATTGGGCATGGAGCCTACTTAAAAAAAAAAAAAAAAAGACATGTGTATAGCCCTCATCACAGGAATTCCAAGGGTCAAAGACCAAACACATATTTCTTATTATAAGTGACGGTGTCGCATGTATCTGTGAAATCATACAGCAGGTGGCTTCTGGTTGGTTCTCTCGCTCGGCACGAGGTTCATCCACTGCGTAGTGTGTCGGGACTTCGTTCCTTTCTATGGCTGAGTGATAGTCTACTGTGCGGATGGACCACGTTTTCTGCACCGACTCATCCATTCATGGTCCTTGGGATTGTTTTCACCTTTTGGCAGTTTTTGACTAGGGCTGCTGTGAACACTCATGTAGGAAGGTTTAAGGACCTGTTGTTGTTTTTTTTAAGTTTATGTATTTACTTTGAGAGAGAGAGAGAGCACACACACAAGCAGGGAGGGGCAGAGAGAGGAGGAGAGAGAGAGAATCCCAAGCTGGCTCCTCACTGACAGTACAGAACCCTACACGAGGCTCGAACCCACGAACCGTGAGATCATGACCTGAGCTGAAACCAAGAGTCAGATGCTTAAAAGATCCAGGCGCCCCTTGAGGGCCCGTTTTCAGTTCTTGTGGGGCGACGCCCAGAAGTAGAATTGCTGGGTCCTATCCTTATTCTGTGTTTAACTTTCTGTGGAGTGGCCAGAATATTGCCCACGGCTTGGGGAAATATTTTTATTTTTAAACTTTTATTGAGATACGACTAACATAAAAAAGAAGTGATCGTATTATTCATCTTGATGACACTTCACATACGGTAGGCCTGCGGGATGACTTCCCAGGTGAGGTTCCAGAACATTCCCAGCCCCAGGAATGCCCTGGCCCCCCCCCCCATCACTTTCCCTATTCCTGGATAATAGCGATGTCCACTTTCTGTTACAGTGGATGAGTTTGCCTGTTTTCCAACTTGACCTAACAGAACTAACCAGTGCATCCTCTCTTCTGTCTGCCAGCTTTCACCCAACACCACCTCTGAGTCACTTGTTCTTTATCTATCCTGTGGTTCACTTTTTTAAAAAAAAATTTTTATGTTTATTTATTTTTGAGAGACAGAGAGAGACAGAGCATGAGTTGGGGAGGGGCAGAGAGAGAGAGGAAGGCACAGAATCCGAAGCAGGCTCCAGGCCCTTAGCTGACCACACAGAGCCCAATGCGGGGCTCAAACCCATGAGCCATGAGATCATGACCTGAGCCGAAGTCGGACGCTTAACTGACTGAGGCACCCAGGTGCCGCTGTGGTCCACTCTTTCCTGGCTGTATAGTACTCCGCTGCACATACCCAGGAGGGAGCAGAGCTGCTGGCCCATGAATGGGCTCTATCACTTTACAAGAAGAGCCAGTAATTAGTTTATTTACTCCTGGAACTTCCCAAGGGCACACAGCACCACTGAGGACCTGGGGTGGGGGGGTGCCCAGGGGCAGGGAAGTGGAACATTAGCCCTATGGTATTTCCAGTTCACCAAACTCTGGAATGCTGGCACCCAGGCCAGTCTGGCTCCCCTTTGCCACATCGCTAGCTGATGACCTCATAGTCAGCCCCATGGCCAAGCTGGGAGGGGCGGTGGGGCGGGCGGTGGGCAGCCGGCCATCCATGAGCTCAGCGGGCCAGGACCCTGCCTTCCTCACTGGCAGCTTCCACGGGTCCCCAGGGGCCAATCCAAGGTAGAAGTAAACAGCATGAAGGCCAGGGGTCAGGCCGACCCTGCCACCTGGCTTGGCCCCAAACCTCCCAGAATCTTCCCTCACCTCCACCTACTTTTGGCCACAGTCACCCTCATCAAACACACGCAACACATAAGAAAACACACACCCACTTTTATTATTTGTTTCTCATGACATGAGGCAAACAGTCACGGCAGGAGGTCCGGAAGAGGCAAAAAAGAAAAAAGGAAAAAGGCAGTTTATTTTAAAATTTCCTATGAGTTTGCAGGACAGGGAGGATTACTATCTTATTACGTGAGCTTCCCTCCGGGCCAGCGGGCGCCTGTGTCGTGGGGGGGGAGGGGTCCACAGCCAGCCTGGGTTTAAATCCTGGCTCAGCCCTTGAGATGTCCAGCGGATTCTGAAGCACTGCTAATCTCTTCCAAACGTCGCTTTCCCACTATTATCCCCTTAAAGGGTAGCACGGAGTAGATGAGCCTTGATTTGAGCTATAATCCCAATATTTTGGACCTAATGACCATTATGAGTAGAGGTGGTTGGGCGGCAGTGTGTCTCCACTTCAGCCAGAGTTGGGTTCAGATATGCCCGGGCAAGTTCGCTTGGGAAGACTGTCTCCTCCTGACAAACTCCTGTTTATCTGTTCAACCCCGGCTTTGATGTCCTGTCTCCCACTAAGCACTCCCTATTCTCTCCCCAGTTTCCCTGAGGCTGAGAGGCCCCCCTCTGGCACCATCCAGGCCCCCCCCACCCGAAGACTGGGGTGTCTGGTTCTGGCCCCATGCCCCCCCCCAAGACCAACACCTTCTCAAGGACCAAGTTCCACTATTATTATGCTAGTTTCCTAGGCTGCTGTGATAAAGGGCCACAAACGGGGAGGCTTAAAACAACAGAAAGTGATTCTCTCCCACTCCTGCAGGCCAGAAGTTTGAATTCGAGGATCCGCAGGGCCGCACTCCTGCTGAAGGCTTTAGGGGAAGACCCTTCCTGGCCTCTTCCACGTTTTGGTGACCCCAGATGTTCCTTGCGCAGGGGCCAAGAGCAGGCAGTCCCAAGATGAGCCACTTTAGCATGAACACTATTTTGAGTTAAAAGCTCTCAAAAGCCAGCAGATTTCGGGAAAAGCTCTGTACCTCCCCCCTCAACCATCTGCTTCTTCTAGGAAGGGAGCTCTTACCAGAAATTCCTCTTTACCTTAGAGACTTAGCTGCATAATAAGGCAGCGTTTGTTTCATAAACACCTCCTCTGACCTTCCTGCTAAGGGTCTCTCTCCCTTTTGTGCCTCAGACCCCTCTTCTGAGCTCATGCAGGCATTGTTCCTCCGTGTCTTTGGAATTCCCGTGTCTGGGTGGAGTCCCCGTACGCACGTGTGCTATTCAATTTCATTTTCTCCTGTTAATCTGTCTCATGTCAATTTAATTCTTAGCCCAGCTAGAGGGGCCTTGAAGGGCAGAGAGAATTCCTCCCCCTCCTCCTTGGCTTGTGGCTGCCTCGCTCCGGTCTCTGCTTCTATCTTTACGTGGCCTTCTCTTCTCTGTCTTCCCCCTCTAAGGACACCTGTATAGTTAAGGCCCACTGTAAATCCAGAATGATCTCATTCCAGATCTTTAACTTAACCACATCTGCAAAGACCCTTTATCCAAATAAGGTCACATTCGCAGGAACTGAGGGATAGCTATCAGATCAGGTGAGGTCCGTGGTCCGGGAAAGCCCCTGAGGGCCACCCTAACCCTTGGGTTGGGGGGAACGCTTACTTCTGCGGCAGAGTGTGGAGCAAAGAAATAAATACCTAGGGGGGTATTTCTGAGCCCCTATCATGGGTCAGGTGGTTAAGACGCAATCTTTATAAAAGCCGGTGAGTTCGGACATGTGATCTCCATTTCACAAATGACACACTGAGGCCAGAGAGGTGGGCTTTGCCAAGGCCGCATGGCTGGCAGCCAGCGGGGCCGGGAGTGGGGCCTCTTACCAGCCGCCTCCCTCAGAGCCCCTGACACGAAGGGATATGGCCGTGCACAGGCTGAGCCTGAGATGCCAGTTGGAGGAGGAAGAATTGCTCCCCACCCTTCTGAGTTCTTGGCTGAGACCCCCTGTAATAAAAGATTAACACGAGGACAGCAGTTTAGCACATGTACCTCAAGTATACATAACAGAGACCCAGGAGACCAGTAAACTCCTTGAGGCGGTCCATACCGCCTTCAATCCTACCTCCAATTAAAGACGAAATAAAGATATTGGGGCTTGAGGCTAGTTATGCGCTTCTCCATTGGTGAGATGCTCTCGTGATTGGCAGCCAGCCTTCTCTTCCTGATTCAGAGAAGGAACACCCTTCCAAATGGAGACCCCCCCCTTTATAAATGTAAA